CTTTCAGAAAAACACCATCTTCTATCATCATCGTTCGATCTAGTAATAATGAAACAATTTATTGTGAACTCGATAAGTACATAGATTCTTTTTTTATCATTGTTTCTTTTGATGTTAATGGGAATATAATTTAATTTGTTAGAAAAAGACGTGAAATACTTGAACACATACATGTAAAAATATCTTATGTTTTGATTGACAAAAACAACATTGTTTTCTATGTAGCTAGTACAGTGATGTAGGTATATGCGCTTTCAGTGATATCTTCTTTGAGTTTATTGATGAAAAGAAGAATAGTAATGATGTGTAACTTCGGCACATTCTGAAGGACTATGGGGAATTCCATTCCATGGGGTTCCCCATAGTCCTTCGAGGATCCGGTATTCTGGAAAATCTGTTTTTCTGAAACTCCAAAAAATAACGTAAACCTTTCTTAATACTGCAGGATTGTAGCGCGCAAATTTCTGATTAAAACGAAACATCCCCAGCCTCATACAACCATTAAATTAAAAAGAAACATTTCATTAAATTTATATACTTGGATAAGATGAATCTGTAAAAACTAACCTGTTTAATTTTTTTATTGTTTTAAAAACTATTAAGTACATAAAATAAAATATATTTTGACACACGTGTGAACGCATTAAAAGGACAAAACTCGAACCTGAATCGCAGGCCCGGAATGGTGTCGATGCTTTACAATGTGTTAAACCGGAATTTTATACCAAAAATGTGTCCGAACGCATTATTTTGTGCACAAATGGCCAAAACTAAGCCTTCGAAGGCTTAGAATATGTCAAAAGAAGGTTTCCGCAACCATGAACGCCTTTACATACATTAAAAAAGTTGTCGAACGCACACAGACAGTGAATATTTGTCATGAAGTTGCACGCGTTCCACATCTTAATGCGTGTTAAGCCGTGGTGTAATTGTGAACGTCTTCGCATAAAATGAGAAATGGAACGCATGTACATAATGAATTTTCTTAGTCCATGTGAAGGCATTCTAACTTTTGTATCCGTTCGAAAGAATGTGATATAATGACCAAGGGCTTAGCATGCAAACGCAGAATGCGTGCGAAAAGTGAACTTTTCTAATTCCTTCGTGTGTATTCCATTATTTAATGAATGTGAAGGGACGTAATCTAATGACGAACGGTTTTGCATCCATTTCCCCGCTCCTAAGGTGTGTGAATGTATTAAAAATTTTTAACTGCGAAAAACTTCTTTTGGCACATTCTAAGCCTTCCGAAGGCTTAGTTTTGGCCATTTTTGGACAAAATAATGCGTTTCCTTTTGTTTTCGGACGTGCGGTTCAGGTTCAATTTTTGTTCTTTTAATGCGTAAGCACGTATTAGCGGCGTGAAATTGTCTACTTTAATGCGTTCGAATGCCTTATTGTGACGCATGAATCTAACTTATGAGAACTTCTTAATAGCTGCTGCAGAAGCCAAGAGATCAGACTATTCTGTCATTATAAGTAGTAGTGCACAAAACTACAAGAAAACAAGTGTCTGAGACCATGCAAATAAACCAAATGTTACTTCGATTTCACCCGTCGGATAACGTCACTCACACTTTGAATGTACGGATGAGATGGTGGGAGAGATTTCTTTCGAATGACGAGACACTTCTCGAAATACTCCAGAGCTCTCGTCAAATCATTCTTATCTTCATACACACGACCGATCGAATGGTAACTGGTAGCTACATCTGGATGATCGGGTGGAAGTGACTTTCGATGCATCTGAAGACTTTGATTGTGATAATCGAGAGCTCGATCGTACTCTTTCTTGTCCAAATACACATGGCCAGTCTCTGTCAGACTACCTGATATGTCAGAGTGAGTCGGGGGCAATACCTTCTTGTACATGACAAGAGCACGCTGATGATAAGACAACGCAGAATCATTATCCCCTTGGTAATAGTGAACATTACCGATTTCACGTAGAGTCCAAGCAGTTTCCACATGATGAGCAGGAAGCTTCGCTTGTGTTATAGCCAAATCTTTGTTCAAGTAAGAAAGCGCTGTTTCATAATCTTCTTTGTGCAAGTACACTCTGCCTATCCAATAATAACAGTAACCAATGTCTAGTGTGTCATGTGCATGTTGAAACTTCTTGTACAGTTTCACGGCTTCATTCAAATGATCGAGTGCAACATCATATTCTCCTTGTGATGCACTTACTTCGCCGAGTCTCTGATAACACTCAGCAACATTCATATCATCATCGTTCAACTCATCCAATACACGAGTGTAGTATTGTTTCGCTTTCTCATATTTACCCATGTTAGCCAACAGAAAACCAAGTGAGAGGAGACTGGCTTGTTCATCTCCACCACCAACACTCTTCTTCTGATGCTCATACATCTCTTTCATATCTTGATCATCTTCATTACACAATGTTAGCCTGGCACACCACAACGCCTCTCTCTCATCGAACATGACATTCTCTAGTCGAAACACAGAACCGAGAGTGAAGAGAACTTCTTGACGTGCAAACATCAGCGCCTCAACTTTGTTGAGACTCGTCGAGAGAAAGTTGTTAAATGAAATCAACTGTCCTTCTCCACATCTCAACTTGTTCATCTCCTCTGTCGACACTGCTTGACCACGATAGACTCGAATTACACCTTTCTTCTTGACGAACTTTCGATGTTCATCTTTCAGCTGTTGGCTAATATCTTTGATGAGAAATCTCATTGAGAAGAGAAGATCAATGTCTTGAAGTCGAAGAGCTTTGTTGAGGATTCGATAGAGACAAGAGTCTCGAGTGTACCACCAAATACTCTTTTGTGAATGATAGTCTCTTTCAAATTCTCGAATCGTCGCTTCTTCATATGGATTATCGGCATAGCTCTCCTTGCACATGATTGCCAGTTGTTGGATATCACTAGTCGAATGAGGAAGACGTAGAAGGACGTCGATGAGCAGTTGAAACCACAGAAAGGTGCCTCCAAGACCATCTTGTCCATCTCTCGCTGAATAAACAGCGATGTTGTTCACTGACTCTTCTGTCCTTGACCGAACTCGCTGATCAGTTGATACTTGATTGACTAACTCATCCGAGTGCACGAACACGCCTTTGATCTGAAGTGGAAAGAATGCAAGAGAATGTCGTCCGAAGTGAGAAGAATATCGTTTACTTTGTTGAAGTTTCTCGCCCACTTTTCGTTTCTTTCTCTGTCCAGACAGTAGACATAGATGGCCGATAGTTGAGATAGATGATGAATGTTCGGTACGAGTTGGTGTCCCAATCCACCACTGACAATCAACACAACTCTCTCGTCCTTCACCTGTCTAATGTACTCTTCACAAGCATGTGGTGACTGGAATGTCTTGAGAAAGTTGATTGATGCACGTAGCTGTGATTGTGTTTCTGTGTTCTCTGCAGTGGAGTCAACATTCGCATCGAGCCACAACAAAGAAAATGTCTCGACGTTAGTGCTGCGTCTTTGACTTATTTTCTTCTTGTTCGATGTCTTTGTAGCCTGATCAGGATATTTGGTGGCCATTGCAATATCTACAGAAATTTGCTGAAGTTCCAAAGAGCACTGTTCTGTTGGATTTATGTTATATTGACTCGATTTGTACAGTATCCATGCGCTAAACAATATCTTGTGTCAGAAATGATGCTATTTCAGATGCTGCTTAAACCCATTTATTTCCCAGAAATGGAATATTAGATCTGTCTTCTGGTGAAAATTTTCTCAATAACAGAACATTACAGCTCAGCCCTTTTTAGATTTGTTTTCCCAAACAGGACACTTGTTCTAAATATGGGACAAATTTCCCACATATACGAACAAAAATGTTGCATTTTTGGG